GTAATCTGTATGCCTCTGTACAAGTTTCTTTTTCATCCTACGATCTGTATGTCCTTGCTTACTGTGATCTGCCTGTACTGATTGTAAACAAAGCTGTTCACTGTACTTAGGTGCACGTGACAATAAAATAAATCAAATCAAATGCAGTAGGCTTGAAGGAGTGAATGGTCTTCTACTCCTATTTCATATGTTCTTATGACAACCCAAGGCATAAGACGTGCTCTTCTGTCTAAAACCAGATTTGCACAAATGAAGGTTTGCATTAATAGCTTGCTCCAGTTAGGCATGTTCTTTTGGACCATTGATTCTGCTGGTACATTGGGAGGACTGAGATCTGTGACAGTGAGTGGTCTCCAAACGTGATGTGTTTCACTGGTCCATCAGTAATAATAAACCAGTTTGAATCTAGTTTATCCTCAGTAATCAGTTTCTCAGTAATACAATGGATGAGCATTGAGAGGCCAATTCTGCCCCTCAGTATGCTATCCTCAAACTCTGCCTTCTTGAGTTCTCCGTTTTTTTAATCACTGCATCATGGGTGGCAGTACTTTCAGCGGCTAAGGCCCTAAACTCTGGAATTCCCTAAAAATTTTGATTTCTGTTCTTTGAGACACTCCTGAAAACTTAGCTCTCTGACAGAGCTTTTGATCGTGATCACTAATATTTCAGTACGTATCAAATTTCCTTTATGACACTGCTGTGAAATGGGTTGGGACAGTTTACTGCTTCAAAGGTGTTAAATCAATTCAGGTTATTATTGTTGTAGGATATGTTAGGAGCTATTTTGCTGATTAATTGTCTCAAGCGTGGTTGAGTACAACTTTTGGTTTACAATTGGGTTTGGTGAATGAAACACACTGGGAGAAAGGTGTCATGCTTGACCAATGAACGTACAACACAATAGATTGTAAACAATTAGAAAGGAGACAAACTTGCTTGATTTATGTAAACAACAGAAGAAATTACAGAATCTTCAAGAGACTGGATGTTAGTGACCCAAGCATGAATATTCGTCCTTTCTTTCCTTTTAATATTTAACCAACGGTCAATAAATAACAAGTTAAATACTATGCTGGGTAAGGCAAGTAATGCAAGACATAAATCTCATAAAAGGAGACTTTAGAATGCCCTTTCTTGAGACTCTGCCATCTGGTGGTATATGAAAGTCAGCTTAGAGAATTAACAGTTTAAGGTTCTGGCAAAGATTTGTAGCTTGTGTTGTGGATGAAGTTGTTGGCTTCCTCGCCAAGCTGGCTGGTTATCGTAGAAACGTTTCATCACCATGCTAGGTAACATCATCGGTGCAGCCTCCAACGAAGCAATGTTGTTCTACTCCGCTTCATACGACACAACCCAGCTTAACTAACTGGATCATATAAATTCCAAGCAGAGTAAAACACCATCGCTTCATCGGAGGCCACACTGATGATGTTACCTAGCATGGTGATGAAAAGTCTGTACGATAACCAGTCAGTTCGGCAAGGAAGTCAACAATCTCAGAATTAACAGTGTTGTATCCTCAGAAATAAATACTCCTTTATCAAAGAACAGAGTCTTGATCTTTTTTGATGTTGAATGATATTTCTTTACATTAATTTTCTCAATGTTTATTTTGCATTGCAAAGTTATGAAACTTAGAATTTCAGCGCTGTGAGGTTAAATGGGATTTTTCACACAACGAGTAGTCAAGAGTCTTGAATTGTGGTGAGAGCAGGTTCAATTGAAAGCATTCAAGAGGCCATTAGATAATTATTTAAATTGAAACAATATTCAGGATCATGGGGAAAAGACAGGAGAACTGAATTGAATCATAATGTTCATTCGTAAAGCAGGTGCAGACACAATATGCCAAACAGCCTTCTGTGCTGTTACAGGCCTGTGATTCTGTGGTCTTATCACTGCACATTGTAGGTGGAAAGAATTAGTATAATATTTTCTTCCTGTTCAAGATGCATTCTTTAAATCTTTCCACAGAATGAAGAAACTGAAGGAAGAGATGGCGGGAGTGGTTAAAGAGCTTGCTGAGAATAATCACATCTTGGAAAGGTAAGTACAACCTAAATTTGGTATCCCAGCAATCCTGACACAAAATTCTCTACATTATGAAAAATATATAAAGCCCATGCATTTATACAGTACTTGCACAGTTTCAAAGTGAATCAGAGCCGGTTACTTTTCTAGGGCGTAGTCACTGTTGTAAATGCAACAGCCAATTAGCACACAGTCTGCACTCTCAAACCACATAAGGACACCCACCAGATCATCTCTTTAAGTGGTGTTGGTCGAGTGATATAAGTTACACAAGTCACACTCTGCTTCAAAGAGCTTGTCAGAAGATTCTGATGCTAATCAATTGTTTCCAACAGGTTTGGAGCTTTGACTGTGGATGGAGGAATTCAGAACACCAATCGGCTGTAAGCTGGAATGCACAAGCTGTGTTGTTCAACAGGAACTACAGTCCCTTCCAGTTATCAATCCTAGTGTACCCTGCTCTAAATCTTCTTGTGTGTGAAGACTGTGAAAGTTGACACTCAAATGTACATAGAAGGGAAAAAAAAGGAAACCTCGGTTGTTTATTTTCCCCCTCTTGTTATTACCTTGGTGTAATTATTTTGTTCCAATCCGTGCGGTCCACAGCAAAATAGTAGCAAAATCCTTGAACAGTGTCAGAAGCATGGTCAATAAAATAAATTTAAGACCACCCCCCCCACTTCCAAAGATTGGGCAGGGGTGGGGTGACCGTCACGGGGGTGTGGGGTTGGAGAAGATGACAAAGGGTGCTTCACAGGTGCCCACGTACACCCTCTGCTCCTGTACCAAATACCTGCTGAGTGCTACTTGTCTCAAAGTTTCCCTTTGATTTGCAAAGCTGTTTAATGAGGCTGTGGCCTTGACATGTGCTTTCTGAACTTTAATTCTTTGATTATTAAATTTGTGGAGATGGGGAAAGGAATTCAGACTTGAGCGACATTCTGCATATTTCCACAGATGGTAGCTTCAGATGAGACCAATGGTGAAAGTGATGAAAGCAGTTGTTAACATTGATTACGCTATAAGCTTGGAACCGAAATGATTTGATGAACGGCTGATTGTGCCTTTGTTAAGAATGTGAATACAGCCCCTCTTACTTGTATATATGTATATAATTGTATGCATAACTTAACACTTACACCTTCTATTGAATAGAACATACAGTGCAGATGGAAGCTGAGCTTGTTTTAAAAGAAGTTTGAAATCTATAGATGTTAGCGATTTTGTTATTTTACCTATTTGTTAATGTGATGTGAGCATTACTGATGAGGCCTGCATGTATTGCTCATCCTCGATTACTCTTAAGAAGATAGTGACAAGCTTCTTGAATCGCTGCAGTTTATGTGGGGCGCCCTTATGGTGGGATTGCAGGAATTTCAATCAGCACCAGATGAGGAATGACCATATAAAGACAAATTGCTGGAGAAACTCAGCAGGTCTGGCAGTGCCTGTGGAGAGAAAGCAGAGTTAACATTGTGACCCTTCTTCAGAACCCTGGAATGGCTATATATATCTATATATAATTTCCAAATCTATGTTGTGGGTTGGGAGCTGATGTTGAAGGAGCCTTGAGGTGCTGCAGTGCATCTTGCAGGTGGAAGATGATGCATATTGCTACACCTATGAACTGGTGGTGCTACAAGTGAATGTTTGAGGAGGTGGATGTGGTGCCAATCAAGCAGTTGCTTTGTCCTGGATCATTTTTAGCCTCTTGAGTGTTACTGGAGCTGTGCTCATTAAGGCAAGCGGAGAGTATTCCATCGTACTCATGACCTGTGCTTTGTAGATGGAGGACAAGCTTTGGGTGGTGAGGGGATAAGTAACTTGCTGCAGAATTCCCATCCTCTGCCCTGCTTTTCTAGTCACAGTATTTATATGGCTGGTCTATTTAAGTTTCTCATTATTGGTGACCATTCGGGATGTTTATGTCATGTATCTTATAACTGCATAAACTAACTCTCTCTCTGTTTTAAAATATGGCCTAGTCTCTTCTGTATAATGAAGTTGCACTCCTAGTGCAGTGATATTAAGACGGGGTTTCCTGTCATCTCTGTAAATTACGTAAAGATATATATATATTTTCAAACTCTTATAATCAGTAATACATTTGAATTTGTTTGTGGGACAAGCCGCTGCCTGGATAAATTGACCAAAGGTATTCCAATGCTGACTGGACTAAATATTGTAGCAAATAAATATTTTTGATTTGGACATGTGTAAATCTCTTGTGATATAGTTGAGAGCTGCAGAATGAATTGAAGTTATACTTTCAATAAGGTACAGAAACACCTTTCTTTAAAGTAATCTTTTATTTCCACCTGTATGCTGTAAGATTAGAAACCATTTAGAGTAAAGCCCTTACATCTGTGTCGAGTGTCTATTTACTAAATCCTACTTCTGTTGTCACATTGGTGTTGTGTTTTTTTTTTTGCAAGTTTACTCCAGTTGGGATATTGTGTTCAGTTTTGTGCAACTTGTTTTAAACTGGCCGTGAAGGCTTTGCTTGGGAGTCCAGAAGAAATTCACCAGAATGTTTCTGGAGATGAGGAGTTGCAGGCTAAGAATAGGTTTGAGAGAAGGATTTAAAATAGACCCAGAGAATGCTGGAGAAACTCAGCAGGTTTGGCAGCATCTGTGGAGAGAAATGTGATATTGATATGGAAGGTGATGGCCTTATGGTATTAATTTGTGCTATTAATCCGGAGACCAAGGTAATGGCACCTATGACAGAAGGTGGAATCTGAATTCAGTAAAAGTCTGGAATTCAGAATCTCATGATGAAACTATTGTCAAATATTGGGAAAACCCATTTGGTTTGCTAATGTCGTGTAGGGAAGGAAGTGGCCATAACTCCAGACTCTCAGCAATGCGGTTGACTGTTATTTGCCACCTAGGCAATAAATTATCCAAGCAATGCCCACATTATGAATCATTGAATCCCTACAGTACGGAAGCAGGCCATTCAGCCCATCGAGTCCACACCGACCCTCTGAAGAGCATCCCACCCAGATTCAACTCCCCCATCCTTGCATTTCCCACGGCTAACCCACCTAATCTGCACATCCCTGGACACTATGGGACAATTTCCTATGGCCAATCCACCCTAACCTGCACATCTTTGGACTGTGGGAGGAAACTCGAGCACCCGGAGAAAACCCAAACAGACACAGGGAGAACATGCAAACTCCACACAGACAATGGCCTGAGGGTGGAATGGAACCTGTGTCCCTGGTGCTGTGAGGCAGCAGGTGTTAACCACTCAGACACCCCTATAAATCCACTGAATGAATTAACAATAAATAAATAGTTAACGTTTTGAGTCTGGTATGACATCTTCAGAATCATGGAGTGTTTGTAAAGAGTAAATACAGACAGATTGTTTCTAATGATTGTTGGGTTGATAATGAGGTGGCGCTGAGTTAAGGTGAACAAGAGATAGCCTGAAGAAAAGCTTTTCATAATACATTGGGTAATCAGTATTTAGAATGCAATCCTTGCTAGTGTGGTGGGTACAGATTCAGAAATAGTCTTCAAAAGTGAATTTGATGAATACTTGGAAAGAGAAGTAAATTGCAGGGATATGGGAAAAAGAGTGGGATTGCCCTTTGAGAAAGGTCACAGACTCGTGGTGAATGGCACCCTGTCCAACTGTAGCCCTATTATTACTTGCTTTATCTGCATTTACAATGGAGCCGTCCATGTGACTTGTAAACTTTATGTATTAGTGCCCGGAACGGAGGGTTTGAGATATAAAAATAGACTGGGACTTCTTTCACTGGAGTGTAGAAGTTTGAGGGATGGCCTTATTGAGGTTTATAACCTCATGAGGAACATAGATAGGGTAAATGACAAGGATCTTTTCCCAACGGTGGGGGAGTTCAAAACTAGGGGGCATATTTTTAAGGTGAGAGGAGAAAGATTTAAAAAGGACATGAGGGGCAACTTTTTTTTACATAGAGATTGGTTCATGTGTGGTTAAGATTTCCAGCATTTTCAATTCTTTGCTTTACCTCACTCTGGGATCTGTCCACTATGGGATCATAACATTAGCAGAAGACTGGACCTTAAAATGTTGGGATATGATTTGTCTTTCCAAATCTTCTACCTGAGCCAGGTAGAGAAGTCCTTATGATGCGAAAATTATACCTGACACTAGGTTTTTATTTTAATGAAACAATCTGCATTTATATGGCACCTTTCACTGCTTCAGGGTGGCCCAAAGTGCATTACACCTTGATTGAGGACTGTTAGGAAGTGTAGTCATTGTTGTAGGAAGCACAGCAACTAATTTGTGCACAATAAGCTCCCGCATCTGTAACCAGATAACCTGTTGAGTAATGTTGGTCATTGACTTGAAGACTGCCCAGTGTGCACTCTTTAGCTGAAGAGCTGGTTGATTCCTTGGGGCTCCACAAAATTTGGCCAGAGGTACCAGTAGACTGGTTTCCCATCCCTATCTTCATTGGCCCAGACACTAGGGTGTGTCTGTCTCACCAGCTGGCCTGCAGCTCCCCAGCCATTTAGTAGTGAGGCTACCCCTCAAAATTATCTAGTTTTCCCATCAACAGTGTGTTGCAACGACTGTCAAATTGATATTTGTGAGGGAGTAAATCTACCTTATCCTAAGGCTAGGCCAGTTCTCTCTGGAGTTTAGAAAAATGAGAGGAGATTTAACTGAGGTGTATAAGATGCTAAAGGGGATCGTCAAAGTAGACATAGAGTGGACGTTCCCTCATGGGGCAATCTAGAATGAGAGGTCATAGTTTTAGGATTAGGGCTAGCAGATTTGAAACACAGCTGAGGAGAAATTACTTCCCTCAAAAGGCCATGAAACTGTGGAATTCACTACCCCAGAGTGTGGTAGATGCTGGGGCATTGAGTAAACTTAACAAGGCAATAGACATTTTTAATGAGCAATGGGTTGAAGGGTTATGGAGAGCAGACAAGAAAGTGGAATTGAGGCTAAGATTAAATCAACAATGATTGTATTAAATGGCAGAACAAGCTCAAGGGGCTGAATTGCCTACTCCTGCTTCTAGTTCTAATGTTCATTATTTTAGATCCCTCTATCAAATCGGTTACATCATCTTGCCACTGGAGGAGCTGTTTTGCACCATTTTGGTCACAGGTTGTAAAGACCACTGAAAGCTCCTGTGTTCTAATAAATTGCCCACTGTGACCCAAATGCAACAGTATCTTTTGTCAAAATCAACGATTTGCATTTATATTGTCCCTTTTGTGAGAACATAGAACATTACAGCGCAGTACAGGCCCTTCGGCCCTCGATGTTGCGCCGACCTGTGAAACCAATCTGAAGCCCATCTAACCTAAACTATTCCATTATCATCCACATGTTTATCCAATGATCATTTAAATGCCCTTAAAGTTGGCAAGTCTACTACTTTTGCAGGCAGGGCATTCGACGCCCTTACTACTCTCTGAGTAAAGAACCTACCTCTGACATCTGTC